GGGATATCTGTTTGAATTTTGTTTGTGATATAAGCTACTTTTATACTTTAGTACACATTTGCCTAACTTTTATTGTAATTGTGTTCTAGGTCCAGTTCACAATAGGCACACCTCCTATGGGTGGGCGCCGGAGATCCACATCAGGAAGCTCCTACTCCACTACACCTCCAACCACTGCTGCTGCCACAGGTATTTTAAATCTTCTGCACCCAGACTGATTGTGTTAGCTTAAGAAATTTGTAAATGGGAAAGATAATATGTCCCACCAGTCCTTGGTTTTATGTGTTATGTACTCTGCTCAGTTTAAGATATAGCATTGCAGATACACAGCTCTGGTGTTGTAATCTATTGAAAAAAAATTGTTGGCAATTATTCATCAATTTAAATTGGTTGTAGATAATTGTGTAATTATGTTGTGGTTTTGCTGTTTGGTAAGTAGAATACTACTATCATATGAGCTATATTTAGCTTTTTTATTTGCCAAGGTTGAAAAGAAAGAAAATGTGGAGCTTTTGCTATTTTATCCTTTTTTTTTCTTTGGTGACTATACTAATTTTAAGCACTTGAGTAAATGTTTGTTGTGTGGTAATAGTAGCTTTGTCATGCTGCAGGTAACAACCAGGTGGTCCCAGGTGGGCGCCTCACTCCCACCAACTCTCCTTTGCGCCAGTCTGGACGACGTACACCTCCCCACTTGCCTCCCCAAATGTTCTCAGCTCCCCCTGTGCTGCCCCCCATCCTGGGCTCTCCCACAAAACTAGGGCTTGGTCAGGATAACCCTGCTGGCGACATCTGTGGCAACACCACCCTCACTGCCCCGCACCGTGCTATTACACTTCCTGAAATGACCTCTGTATCACGTGACCCCTTTACTGGTCAGTACAGCTTCTTCCTCACCTTTTTTTTTCTTTTGTTTGTCATTACTTTTGATTCTTTTGTTTTTTCATTCAGTGTTTGGTTCGCTTTAATTGCGCTTAAAATCATTGTTATTATTTTGTCCTATTAAGTCTTGAAATTTTTTTGAATGAAGATTTTTAACAGTAATTAATATTAAAGTTCCAGTTCTCCACAAGATCTTACCGTTTGGTATGCCTTCAGGAGGGTCCCAAGATATGAGTGTAGATGGCAGTGGACTCCAGCGATCCCGCACAGAGTCACACCTCCTGGAGTGGCAGGCACAGGCACCCAGTCCACCACATCCTGGTAGACAGCTGGTTCAGTATGGTCAGTCTGCACCAGCTTTTCTCTTGCAAGGGACAGCCCAGGCAGAGGGAGATGACACTGTTGCCTTCTATGCTCCACCTTTGCACCAGGAAACCCTTATGGAGGTAATGTTCTGATTTATAGAATTTAAAAGGCATTCTCTGTGGAAACAAGTGTACTCATACTAAGTTTGATCAGTAGACAAAAATAGATAAATAAATAAATAATAATGATTATACTAAACTTGAATTTTCAGCGAGAGCACAATGAGACACTGGCCAAGCTGAACTTCGTTTTGGCCTTGGTTGATTGTATCCTTGAATTGGCTCGCTCTCGAGCAGCACCTATCACTGCCTTACGACAGAATGCAGCTATGAGAGATTCTGTTTCAGGTAAGGGAAGCAGATTGCGAAGAGGAGTACATTTAGCTCCTATTTGCCCTGAGATCTGTTACATTACTGCTAAATAGCACCTTTAATTCTATTACCATTTAAGGACATCCATGTTTATAAACATGAACGAATGAAAATTAGTAGACAAATCAACCATTTGTGTTGACCACAAAGTCTTTATCTGCCTTCCTTTTCCAGGTTCACCAAAAGACACAGAAGGTTCAGCACTAGCATCACCACCCCCAGAGTGGCAGCGTCGTGCAGAGCAGCTTGTGCTGTATGTCCGGGCTTTGCAACTGCTCTCCTCAGCGCTCACCCTTGCAAAACACGAGAAGAGCACAAGTAGACTTCAGCCATCTAATGCCGTAAAGAATGGTGCGTGTTCACATGTGCTGTCATTGGTTACATTTTATTTCTCATTTCTGGTGGAAAATAACAAGAATTTTACTCCTGCAAATGTTTTATGGTAATCCAAGCTTGTTAATTAAACATTTATTATTATTGTTGTTATTATTATTATTAATTTTTGCAGAATTTCATAAGTCATTTTATCTTTTGGTATATATTGTGAGGCTAATTTTTGTAAAACCTTTTTGTAGTCGTGGGTGTGCTGAGCGAACGTTTCCGCCAAGCCCTGGGTGTGTGCAAGGAGCTGAATAGTGCTGGAGCAATTACTTCAGTAGATCCAAGAACATCTACTGTTACTGCTGATAAACTTATTTATAATTATGCTATTGAAATGGTAAGTTTTTTAAATTTGGAATAATGCCATGTGATGATAAATTTTGTGTGCGTGCTTGCACGAGTGAGAGAGAGTGAGAAAGAGAGAGAGAAAGAACTTGCATATGTATTTGTTTGTTGTTGAAAGGTTTTCATTTTTTCATTTTTCTCTTGAATTATAATAATGTACACATGAATAATATGCAAAATATAATTTTTTCAGTGTCAAAGTGCTGCCTTGGATGAACTGTTTGGAAAGCCCGAGGAGTGTTTCCGCCGCTATCAGACTGCACAAATCCTCCTCCACGCCTTGGCTCAGCAAGTGGCTCACGAGTCAGACCGCTCACTACTGACACGCTACAAACAGGCCGTGGAAAGACGATTATTTCTCCTTCACGAACAAGGTGTAGTTCATGCGTACACCACAAATGAAGCGTAGGCACAGGAGAAAGGTTAAGAGAAGTGGTGTGCGTATGCCCTAGTTAATTATTAAGAAATGGTTCATTTCTTTTTGAGTTTAGAACTGGGACTTTGTATTGCTATACAAATGTTTGAATTCCTTTTTTTTTTTTTTTCAAGAGGAATTAACCCATAAAGTTGAAGTTCATAGCATTTTCTAGAAATGGATTGGGGAAGTGAAACAGAGGTGATCAGACATTCATTCATTGTGATCATAGACCATTAAAAGGCTTCATACTTACCATGCTCAATCTTATTGGTGATGAATATTTGGAAGACACACTAAAATCCAATTGAAGCTCACTGTCAGGGTGAAGGAATTTTATTGTTGATATTTGATTATGATTGGGTTACAGTTATGATCATCCTCCCTAACTGATTATCATTGAAAAAATAAGAATGCAAGCATTAGAGGGTGGGCATAAGGTTTATCCTATTATCCCCCCCCCCCTCACAAACACACACACACACACCTCTATCCCCCCTCATACAAACCTCCCCTCCCCTCCAACACACATGTACATACATATGTTCACACATATTCATTCATACCTTAATAGTTTTTCATTTGGAATATGAAAGCATGCTCTGATCTCCACATCGGTATGGTGTGCATGTATATAAACTGAAATTTGTATTTTAGTTTGTCTGCATTTCACTGTCTCAATCACCGAGCATGTCACATGCCAATGTTGGAGGCAAGTGTGGAAGAAATCTTGAGATTCTAACAGCAATGTGACCCTAGAGGAAAAAAAAGTCAGAGCATCCAGAGAAGAAGAAGAAAAAGTCATAGCATCCAGAAATGTGATCTTCCTTTGTGGTCTGTCAGTTTTTCAAAATAGTATTTTTTTCACCTTTTTTTTTCTACTTCGCTTGGAATGAAAATGTTTGTAAATGAAGGTAGTAAATAGGGCAGTGCAACTAATCATGCCTCATGTAATTAGCAATGTTCTATGTGCTTTATATATATATACACACATATATACATATATGAATATTACTCCTCAAGCAAGCTCTGGTTGGAGATGTTATACATGTTTTTATTAACAACCAATTCCTCTGTGTTTGTAGCCTTGTTCTAAACAGCAGTTATCGGCCTGAGAAGATCATGGTACAAATTTTTTTCCCCATAGCAACACATTACTACCAAAAAATTTGTGGACCTCCCTAGTGTTTGTTCAAGTAGCATGCAGAACTGTTCGTCAATCATTTATAAATTGGGAACGTACTTCTTACAGCATGGTCAATTCAGTATTTACAGTTGCTTGTTGAGAATAATGTTTTGTGGAGTAATTGATGTGTGGGAGATTATAGGGCACATTATAACTGGTTTTCAAGGGAACAGTCATTCTGTATGGATGCCATCTTCTGGTAATGCTTCACTGTTACAGCATACGTAGCACAGACAGTCAGTAGATATACTTTTTTTTTTTTTCTTTCTTTCTTTTTCTTTTTTACAAATACTAAAAAGGAATAAAAAAAATGGCAACCAGAGGTTATATGTGGGCAGTGTTTTCCTCTTCAAACATGTGAAATAGTTGAGCAGATAGTGTAGCCATTCACTGTTCTGACATTGGGAAGTGTTGTGTGAATCAAGTGCTTGCAAATAACTTTACAATACTCCTGATATCGTGCTCAGTTTAGTCTGCCATTTTGGGTCAGCCTCATGGCCTGTGTTTGAGTGTTCCATTTTCTCATGGAATTGGAATTATTACCAGAAGTTTGTATTTTTTTTTCTCTTTCATTTGAATTTGGTGACTGTATATATTTTTTATTTCAATTATGCTATTGTTGGTAGAAGTAGCATTGTATACTTATTGATATATGCAAAGAAAGTGGCAGTAAAGGACTTGGCCTTTGCAGTACTTGATTTGTACTGCTAGCAGAGGTGTAGTTGACTATTTATATTTGTTACAAGCAAAAAAATACAAAATACAAAATAAAAATAATTTCCAGTTTAGTATAGATCAAGAATTTGAAATGCTGTAGAGTATAGTTATGATTTTTCTTACGTTTCAAGTAAACTGATTGGAAAGGGAAAAAAAAAGAAACTATTTTGTTTAGCTTGTCTCAATACAGTGTTTTCCTAATTGAGAAGGCATGCAAGTATCCTGACCTTGTCTATACCCGGTTACTCTAATTACTTAACAAACTTCACAATGTTTTGCCTTTTTTCTTTTGTCTTTCATATCTTATAACAATTACTCAGGAAAAAATAGCTTAAGATTTGATTGCCACAAAGTTTTTGTTCTGTGAGTGTGTGTGTGTGTGTTTTTTAAATCAGTTTGTTTCTCCTTTTTGTAGGACTTGCTTGCAGAGCTTGTTTAAGTTTTTATTTTTATCTTTTTGTTTACATATGATATGATGATCTTGTATATGAGGGATGTACTTATTCAAAAATGGAACACTAACTTCCCACCTCAACTCAACAGTCTATGCAGTGATAGTCAGTAAGATCCTGCTCAGACTGTAGTTATGTATGACTGTGGAAATTCGAGCCACCGTATAATAAATTCCGGCTCAGATTAGGTTTCATGTTATACATTGGGTTTAACCATATTTTTGTTAGGGTCAGGAAAATGTTTAAGAAAATGTATCTCTGATATTGCATGATTCCATTATATAACTATCTACCACGTTTATGGAGTTGTTATTAAGTAAGGGAAAGCGGTCTTTTACAGTGATACAGTGACTTTTTTTTATTTCAAAGCGATGGAAATCATGCCCCCTGTGGTTATTTTCTTTTTTTTGTCTAGTCGTACAACACGAACCCTGTGGCAGAATAAGCTCCAGTTCAATTGGAATCTTTGAGAAATAATAATCCAGTAAAGATGCTGGTCATATTAATAAGGCTTAATAAAATCTCAAATGATAAGTGGTAAATTGGATGCAGGACATAGAGAATATATGAAGATACAATGGAAATGCCTGCAGCTATAGCCATATACACGCGTATGACATACATAACTCTTTCACACATGTACACTCATGCTTACACCCTTACATTATGTATTTGTGCATTGATTTGTTTAAAAGTGTGTAAATTACACAGTCAGTATTTTTTTTTTTTTCTTCCTCTAAGGATGTAATCCACTTCTGGTAAGAATATTTTAAGTTTATAATTTGTTTAACACTTTCTAGTCGATTAATTTGCGTGTGGGCATTTTGGGTGGGTATGCATATTTGTCCTGGTGTCATCCACTTATAGACACTATAGTTCTGTCAGTCCATATCATAATTCAAGGGATATCTTGTATATCCTTCAAGATCTCGCACTTAGTTCTTAGTCTGTTGTTGACCTTTTAAATAAGGAATGTGAGGCAACTGTCAAGAGCCAAGAGTTGTCGTGATAGTGCATTTCTGATAAACAATGCATAGTTAGGTTTTGATAATTTGTTTGGCAGTTCTGTTGGTTATTTGAAGACTGAAGTTTTCTAACATGACTGAGTTACATATATATGTGTCATTTCTCATTGGATGTTGAACTTCACAGTTCCTGTTATCATTCTATCATAAACATACTTCTTCATGTGACTGCAGTCTTGGACAAATTCCCATCTCACAAGACAGGCCAATGCCACCATGCTTAATAGATTTATGATTTAAGCAGTGACATTGGCCATTGCCTTGGCGCCTGCCAACCACAGCATCTGTGATCTGTTTGTTTTTACGTTAGTGAGATTTTTTACAAGGTGACTCATTGCATTACTGTAAGAGCTGCAAGAGCGAAATATTGCATAACACTGTGTATAGGAGATACGCATTTCTCATTACAATGCTGCTATGTATGTGTTTATTTCTGTGCTTTTTATTTAATTCTTGAATACATGAGGATAAGTTGGATAGTCAGTGTGATGGCTGACTAATCAGCTAGAGGATGTGAGGATGCAAGTGGTGCATGGGTGAACTCTGCTGGGGCAGCTGATAGTCCCCAGTTCTAGACAGTAGTTGTTTGTTAATACAGAGTTTGACCCAGGCTCTGTAATAGAGTGTTGGCACACTGCAGTATTACAAGACCCTGAAAAGGATATTCTTACAAATTCTGTAAGATTTGAAAAGGATTGGCTTATTTGTGTTTGGTCAAACATGAACTGATATGAAGTCAGCTGTTCCTGTTTTGCCAATTGCAAATTGTGCCTATAATTGTACAGATTATAGTTGAAAAAAAAATCTTATTTTAAAAATTATAAAAAATATCAAAACATTAAAAAAACATAGTATGTTTTACTGCTGTAGTGGCAGGGCATAATGCAGGTCCTGTAATACACTAGATGCCTTTATGTACATGTGAAGCAGATAAAACAGCATTGTGTAGAGTATGGTATGTAAAGTGGGCAGTTTCTTTGTGGTATGACCCTCTCTTTAGTTGCCTCCAGTCATATGCAAACGAACAAATGTTAGCTTGTGACAAGAGTAGATAGGGCTGTTTATTGTTAGAGAGGTTATACTTGTACAGAAATGGCTCCACAACCTGTTTGTGTACATATATGATGATGATACAGGTAACATTATTTACTCTTGCAACTAGTACAATGCCCTGCAAGGGCTGTCATTTTATATTCTTACTATAAACACAATAGAGCAAAAGAAAAGTCAAATAAAAAAGAAAGTCATTAAGTGTTTTTATATCCTAAACCCTGGGGAAAAAAAAACAAATTAAAAAATTGAAGTGAAGCTTCACATGAAGTTTTACAAGAAAACAAAAGGAAAGAAGCATAGCCTGCCTTGAATAAGTAACATGAAAAAGTAGACTCATTACAATGACATTTGTTACTTTTACAACTGCAAAAGTAAAACGCATGGCAGACTGAGTGGTCAACCAAAAAATGAAAAAAGTATTTGGTACCCTCATGGAAGGAGATTAATTGAAATAGTTGAACAAGAATGGACACCTATTCTTCTATAGTAGAGGGAGAGTCAACATACTTCAGACCATCAAAATAAGTGATATTCAGACTTATAGTTGACTCTACTTCGACAAATACTAAGGAGATTAACTGCTGATCAGACAAGTTTTGACAATAATTTCTCAATATTGGCAAAATCAAATTAGTTGAAATACGATAATGACAATATGAAGAAGAAGAGTTACTATCAATACATTTTTTATTTAGAATCATTATCTACATCAGTATCAATATTGTCATTGTTATCAACATTATCACTATCATTATGATCTCCGTCATTCTGGTACCATTGCCACCATCATTATTATTAATGTTGACTTAAGTATTTTCACATCAACACATGGTACAGGCAGGAAGTAAACATGTATTTTAATCTAAAGGAGAGAAAACCTTCAAAATCTGACCACTGGTATTGCCTAACATAATTTACAAGTGAAGAAAAAAATACATTAATGAAAGTATGTACTCTGTCAAGCTGAAGAAGACTTGATATGCACATACCTTGTCATGCACACTGCTACTGGTCTAAGCTCTTGAAAGATGATCTTACTTACAAAATGAAATTACAATTATTATTTAGAGATGAGCCTTCAACAAGGAAAGTCTATAATTATAAATTGATAGTAATGAAATTGTACTACAGAAGAGACTTAGTATGCAAAAGGAAATTACTTTTTGGATATATTCCCATTTGTTTAGCAAAAAGTTATTTTAGAATTATTATTAATCAAATGACTCCCTTACTCAATGTACAGGGTAGATTTAGAATTAGGGGAGATTAGATTTTGAAATAATATCAATGCTACTAGGTGGGGAAGATGATGAAAACAATATAACTTTAAATGCTTTTCCTACACACAAAATGTTCACCATGCATGTATGTATGTATGCATGTATGTATGCATGTATGTGCATGTATGCATGCATGTATGCATGTATGTATGCATGCATGTATGCATGCATGTATACATGTATGTATTCATGCATGTATGTATGCATGCATGCATGTATGTATGCATGCATGTATGTATGCATGCATGTATGCATGCATGTATGTATGCATGCATGTGTGTATACATGCATGTGTGTATGTGTGTATGTGTGTATGTATGTATGTATGGATGTATGTATGTATGTATGTATGTATGTATGTATGTATGTATGTATGTATGTATGTATGTATGTATGTATGTATGTATGTATGTATGTATGTATGTATGTATGTATGTACGTACGTACGTATGTACACACGTATGTGTAAATCATATCCTAGAACTCATAACGATGAATCTTGGTAATAACGTCAGCAATAAGATGACGATTACGAGGACGACGATAATAATGAGGATATTATCATGATTATTAATAGCAGTAGTAATACTAATAGTAGGTGTAATTGTATCGGTTGTAGTAATAGTAATGGTAGTAGTAATAGTAATGGTAGTAGTAATAATAATGGTAGTAGTAATAATAATGGTAGTAGTAATAGTAATGGTAGTAGTAATAGTAATGGTAGTAGTAATAGTAATGGTAGTAGTAATAGTAAGTAACAGTAGTAATAATAAGTGACAGTAGTAGAAGTAGCAGTGGCAGTAATAGTAGCAATAATAGTAGTAGTAGCAGTAACAGTAATACTAGTGTAATATCGCCGGGAGGGCTTGGTCCCACATACCCTACCACACTCTATAGCGGGGAGAACATGTCGCCACTTTGATGGAACTACTTTGGTTCTTGGGTGTTGAGTTAAGTTGTCACCCATTCTACGCTTTATTACAACGGGAATATGGTAGCTGGAGTACGGTGGACAGGCGTGGCAGAGGCGACCTGGGAGGAGCGTCTTGCCATGCCCGAGATGCCCGATTGGTCTGTGGGAGCTTAAGGTGCTGACCGAGCCGATGCTGAGATCAATGACCGGCTTTGGGTTTCTGAAGTGATTACTGGTCGTTTTTTGTACGACGCTGGATGAAATGTCACAAAATATAAGAAAATAGAAAACATTACTCTTCAGTAAGAGTATTGACGTAGGCCCTCTGTTTTTTTGGCTTTCATAAGGTTCGTGTGTTCACACATATTATACGAGGGCATTGTACAACAAAATCGTGAACATATTGGTAACTAGAGTATCGTCAATAACAATGATTACAAAAACAGTGATATAGATGGTGCAATTTCTAATGTACTCGCATACAAGGTATAAATTTTCATATAGTTACAAAGCAAGCGGTGAGAGTGCTTGCCCTAGAGGCAGTTCGTTATTCTTATAGATCTATGATTTAAGCAGGGACATTGGCTATTACTTTTGCGCCCGCCAACCACAGC